AGCAAAGAACCTATGAAGAGCAAAGAAACTATGAAGAGCAAAGGAACTGTGAAGAGGAAAGGAACTATGAAGGGCAAAAGAACTGTATGGAGTAAAGGAACTATATGGAGCAAAAGAACTATATGGAGCAAAGGAACTATAAAGAGCAAAGGAACTGTGTGGAGCAAAGGAACTAAATTGAGCAAAGGAACTATATGGAGCGAATAATCTATAAAGAGCAAAGGAACTATATGGAGCAAAGGAACTATAAAGAGCAATGGAACTATATGGAGCAAAGGAACTATACGGAGCAAAGGAACTATGAAGAGCAAAGGAACTATATGGAGCAAAGGAACTATATGGATCAAAGGAACAATATGGAGCAAAGGAACTGTGTGGAGTAAAGGAACTATATGTAGCAACGGAACTATAAAAAGCAAAGGAACTATGAAGAGCAAAGGAACTATATGGAGCAAAGGAACTATATGGAGCAAAGGAACTATACGGAGCAAAGGAACTATTTCGAGCAAAGAAACTGTGTGGAGTAAAGGAACTATATGTAGCAAAGGAACTATATGGAGCAAAGGAACTATTTGGAGCAATGGAACTATGAAGAGCAAAGGAACTGTATGGAGTAAAGTAACTATATAGAGCAAAGGAACTATATTGAGCAAAGGAACTATACGGAACAAAGGAACTATTTGGATCAAAAGAACTGTGTGGAGTAAAGGAACTACATGGAGCAAAGGAACTACCTTAAGGAACTAGCTCCTTTTTAAAAAAGGAACGAGAAAGATCGATCCGCCACGTGAACTAGATTGCCCACTTCTACTGTTGTCAGGCCCCTGAAGCGAGCTTTTCTAGAGCAGAAGCATCAATAGAGCAAAGTAAAGCACAAAAAAATGATAAAGAAGTCACGTATCGGCATTTTGCAAGTTTGCGTCGGAAGGTAACTTACAAAGGCGTAAAAATATTTCGCATTTCCATGACATTTGCAAATATTCGGGTTAAGATTTCTCGAAATCCTTGCATGCGTCGGAAAGTGACCTACAAAGGCGTATAAATATTTCGCATTTCCATGACATTTGCAAATATTCGGGTTAAGACTTCTCGAAATCCTTGCATGTAAGGTATATGGTGCCTTTGGCAATTTTACTGATATAAATGTGAGGAATATGTTTGCCTAATACGTTAACACTCAGTCGACTCTCGGAAGGGGTCTCTTCGGTCTCCTTTTCCAGAAATGATAGAAAACTCATTTAAAACAGTCAGAATATTCTACAACATTTTCTTGCCTTAGAGTTTTACTATAAGTCTTACAATAGTACAAAAATCTGTCTAAATGTCAAATAACTTAAAAATTAGAAAATTATTTTAGGGTTAAAACCGATTTTATTTTGAGTTTCTACCAATTGTTCCCACTAGATAACGCTTTAGAAGGATAGTATAGAGGACAAAAATATTCTTCATCAAATTTTAATATAACTCACTGAACAACATTAATCGGTATATATAATATATATACCAAATATATAGACGGCAATTTAGGACAAAAAATAAAAATATATTGGCAATTTTTCACAAATTGTATGAAAGTAACGTGAAACTTAACATAGGATAATTTCGTAAAAAGAACAATTTTTCTACATCGAATTTTTCTATTAGTTACAAAAGAAAGGACTTTTTTAAATTCGATATTTATTTGTAAAAAATTATCTGTAATTGGCGTATAAACATTGTTCCATTTTGACCAAATTCCGCACTTGTTCTAAATAAAATTCTAACTGAGAGAAAGTATCATGTTAGAGTATTCGGTTGATTAATATTCACAAATTTCCTGGCAATTGAGGGTATCGTTATGTAGGAGCTTCACTTAAACTTGGTACAATATTGATAAGTTTTGGTAGGAAGATTGCATAAAAAAATATAAAATTCTGTTTTTCAATCAACTCTCTTTGGATAGACCAAAAATGATCAACGATATCCTCATTTATAAGGAATTTTTTCAAGAGAATTGGATCTAATGAGGTTCCCAACTTATTGATATTTTTAGTGGGAATATTTTGTATCCATTATGAACCCAAAATACAAAATTGCAAGACCCAAGAATACCCAAGAAAAAAAAAAATCAACCACAAGCACCATTCATTGTTCTTCTAGTTTTGCATTTCATTGTGTCTTTATTTCAGACACTCTTACCGGCCTCTGCATTGGTGTTACAAAATTCGCATATGTATTTTCCAATCGCGTAATAAATATAGTGAAAGTCTTGATGTGTGTCACTTGTGTAAAGGAGAGAATATTTTGTTAAACAGGGATCTTCTTTTCTACAGTCCACTTAAGATAAGAGATTCTTCTTGGTGGATGTTAGTATTCTAAAATAAGATAAGAGTGTTTTTATTGCCACAAGTGATATAACTGGGTGAGAGTTTAAAACAGAGTTTAAGGTAGCGACCTAACAGGGAGGGGTTTTATGTGGGCAGATAATCTTTATTAAGCCAGTTAAAGCTCCTTGAGTCTACAAGCTTAAGAACATGAATATTTATGAAGGAAAGGGAGTCTAAAATTGTTTGCGATTATCATCTATCCGCTCCAATCCAATTATACTCTAAAATGTATTTTCTTCTAAGTTATTAGGAAATACTTTAAAAACTTTCCAAAAATAAAACTTTCTATATTTTTAAACACTAAACCCACTGTGCAAGTATCCCATATGCATGATTTGTATATTACCAACTTAAGCTGTATTTATGACTACTGCAAATTTCAAGAAGTAAAGACAAAGCACCGTCTCCTTCTTATTGTCTAATCCAGTGTGACCATATCCATTAGAAAGCACCAAGGAGCTTAACAAAATTTAACAAGAGCTTGTATACAAAAGGGATTTAAATGAAACGTTCAAGAAACATAAACACTTTTCGATAGAGATCATCGTTAAACAACTTCCGTTGGCCAACATTTTCTACGAAAAATAAACAGATTCAGATGTTAGAGAGTTTGTGTGTGTGTCTGTGTCTAACATAATATTTCAACATAGAAGTAGTGATTTTTTTTTGCGGTCCTGTATGCCTTGCTAAATTTTGGGTGTTCTTATAATATAAAGTGCTACTACAAATGTACAAAAAAACTGCAGAAGAGATATAGAAAACCGGTGCAGTTAAGTCGAATATTGTGGGCCCTATGTGAGTTATGGCATTTATATACCATTCATACATATTTCAATGGGCATAGGTGGAGTGTAAATGTGTAACACATAAAATTGTAAGAGCTGTCGTCCACTGCGTACTCAAATTTGCCTAGGTTTTGTCTTTGGCTCATATGCATGCAAATGTCAGTTATTTTTGCAGGAAAATTTGCATAAAACATTGAAATTGTGGCGAACTTCCAGTTGCTGTTATAGTGTGTAGCCATAAGATGTTCTGCCAATTGGTCACGTTGCAAAATGGGGAAGGATAGCGATCTCAACAAAAACTTAAAAGCTGAAGAGCTTGGAAATCTGCAGCTGAAGGTCAGGGAGTCTATAGATACGAACTGGAGAGAAGGGTGTCGCTGAAGGGCAGGGAGTCTATATAGACGAGCTGAAGTGCAGGGCGTCGATATAGACGAGCTGAAGTGCAGGGAGTCGATATAGACGAGCTGAAGTGCAGGGAGTCTTTATAAACGAGCTGAAGTGCAGGGAGTCAATATAGACGAGCTGAAGTATAGGGAGTCTATATAGACGAGCTGAAGTGCAGGGAGTCTATATAGACGAGCTGAAGTGCAGGGAGTCTATATAGACGAGCTGAAGTGCAGGGAGTCTATATAGACGAGCTGAAGTGCATCGAGTCTATATAGACGAGCTGAAGTGCATCGAGTCTATATAGACGAGCTGAAGTGCCGGAGGTCTATATAGACGAGCTGAAGTGCAGGGCGTTTTTACAGAAGAACTTAAGTGTAGGGTGTCTATATAGACGAGGTGAAGTGCAGGGAGTCTATGTAGATGAGATGAAGGACAGATTGTATATGTAGATGAGCTGAAGGGCAGAGTGTCTATACAGACCAACTGAGATGCAGGACAGGGCTTTGATATAGTCGTGCTAAAGAGCAGACAAACCGAAGTCCCAGGAGCAGACAAACCGAAGGCCCAGGAGTCTATATAGGCTAGCCGAAAGGCAGGGGGTCTCTATGTATGAGCTGAAGGGCCGTAAGGCTCCAGAGACAGAGGGAATCTCTGAAGCGGGGGAGTCTCTAAAGACGTGAAGTGTCTATATAGAAGAGATGTCTATATAGACGAGATGAAAGGCTAGAAGTCTTTATAAATGAGATGAAGGTGTATATGTATACGCGACCAGATACACTAGAAATCTGTAGAGACGACCTGAAACACCGGTAGAAGTCGAAGAATTATATTGATAAAGAAATAAAGGCCTGGTAGTGCTTAAAACGTGTTGGAAACTCAAATATTGATCTGAAGGTCATTTAGATTATATAGACGTCAGCTTGTCAGGTTGAGGGCTTGGGTTGAGGAAACTATTAATCTGCATAGAGTTGGTGAAAGTAATTCTATATGGACGCTCCGATGGATAGGGAGCCTTTTGTATATGTCTTTATAGAATGTTTTCAACACCGTCCACTTCGTTATCTTTCCCCTGCGAATAGTCTGTCGTCCGTAAGTGCCAAACAGTAGACAACAGAAAGAGAACATGAATGAATATTATATGGAAATCCATGGCAGTAACAACACCTCGAACAACGACAACAACACCAACAACAATTTAAATTTAAAACATTACAAACAAATATTGTAAATGTTTATAACGAAAAAACAATAACAAGCATCAGTCATTGCAACAGCTAACCAGCAGCAACAAAACTGTTAAATATCATACAATTGCAACGCGCACACACACACTCTCACACACCATACAACAGACAATCATGTAACAAATTTGTAAAAGTAGCAATTCATTCATAAATTTGTTTGTTGTAAAGAATAACAACATTTACCATGTTCGATGTGTGTATGTGCGTAAGTAAGTACAATGGGGCAGACAGTGGTCAAGAAGTCGAATGCAGCTGTTCGCAAATGCAAGGTAGGTCGATGGACATTAGGTAGTTCACTTTTAAGGGTATCCCCCTATATTGGAACACTACTCATTGCATAGAAATTCTGTCTATCAAAAATTATCAATATTGCCCCAAGTTTCCTGGTAGACTCTATATAATGAAACCTCCCAATATTCGGCACTTTTTTGCTAGTTTTCCAAACGAATTTGCTCTAATTCGTCTTTTTGGGATCTCATGTCATGTCAAATATTATATATAATGAAACCTCCCAATATTCGGCTTTTTTGCTAGTTTTCCAAACGAATTTGCTCTAATTTGACTTTTTGGGTTCTCATGGCATGTCAAATATTCCTACCAAAAGATATCAATATCGGTTTACGTTTTATGTATAGCTCTTATATAATGGTACCTACCGGGTTTCGATATTTTGAAGGCTAATTTGGTATACAGTATTCATGGAGGCTGACATTCATATATACAGAAAATTATTAAAATATGTTGTTAATTATTAATATATGTTTTATGTTTATGTTTTCACATACCTCCCAAATAAGGGTAGCGACTGTGTCAGTATTTTGAAGGTTTCAACGGCATTTCTCGTTATAAAATTGTCTACATATTTACGTTTACCTACTTTTGTGATTATCTATAGGTCCAAGTTTTATACAGCTTCAGTATAGTTGAATTTTAACCAAGAAGTGAATATAAACGACCCCCTTACAAATGTCCCGTTTTATTATGCCCTACACATCTATGTCGTAAGGCTTTATAGCTTTGTGTGGCCCAAGAACTTTGTGACGCCGCAATATATATCGGTATACTAAAAGGCGGGTCTAGCGTTTTAGTATACCGATCATCATATCTCGACTAGCTGTCTAGTTGTCCGCCTGTTTATTACAATTTGGAAACACTGCACAGGCCACGGTTATGGACCAATTGACACGAAATTTTGCACGTGGTCTAAGAAGACCAATATTGTTTTTGGTAAGGATCGGTTAATATTTAGGAGATGAAATATACAAAAACCTTTATTTTTGTCTGGTCACGATTGCGACCCGATCGTCATGAAATTTTGCACAGACCATGGAATAAGCATGACTGTTTTGACGAAAATCGCTCTAAATTTAGCGGATCGAATGTAACCAAACTTAACTTATCTTATCTTAGCGTATATATTTACTACTGAAAGACATAAACCGGAGAAGTTGATAGTATATTTAAGAAGAGTGGTTGACCTTTAAATTGATACCAATTATATTGTTGTATGTATTCGGATGTGAGAGTTGTACTTAAATACTTGCAGGTTTCTACGTGTTCTGATGAGGGGAAATGTAGCGCTGATTACTAGGAAATAATGCATGAGGTTTTATTTATGGTCAAATGGATTGAGATAGATCGCAAACATTTTGCATTGTCTGCAGGCGGACAATAGTTTAGAGTTCTTCAAACAGATTTTCAATAAATAGGACCAATATCGGCAGTATAACATAGCTCTTCGTCAATGCTCTTTGGCAAAAATATTAAGCATTTAATATTTATATTTATACCCTTCACCACACTGTGGTACAGGGTATTATGTCTTTGTGCATATGTTTGTAACAGGCAAGAGGAAACGAGATAGACACATGGTTCCTTTTGAGAATATGCATAGAATCACTTTTTAAGCCGATTTATGCATGTCCGTCTGTCCGCCTCTCCGTCTGTCTGTTCATGTTAAATTGTAAACAAAGTACAGGTCGCATTTATGATCCGAATTGGATGAAATTTGGCATAGGTCACTTATTTGGCCCATGGACGAACCCTATTGAAATTGGAAAGAATCGGTTCAGATTAAGATACAGCTCCCAGATATATTTTCGTCCGATTTTATATATATGGTGTACCAAAGTCCCTATATATCTTTCGATTTCCACGAAATTTGGTACAGCATACTGAATTAGGTCTAGAATGATGTGTGGTAAGTTTCCTTAAAATCGGTCCAGATTTAGATATAGCTGCCTCATATATTTTCGTCCGATTTTATGTAAATGGTGTACCGAAGACCCTATATATCTTTCGATTTGCACGAAATTTGGCATAGCGTACTGAACTGAGAGACGAATGATGAGTATTAAGTTTCATGAAAATCGGTCTAGATTTAGATATAGCTCCCATATATATTTTCGTCCGATAGATAAATGGTTCACCAAAGACCCCAAGGTAGGCCGATTGACAAAAAATTTGGCACAACGTACTGAAGTTAATATAATATAGTATATAGGTTTTAGATGTTAATGGTGCTTCAAAAATTCGACGTCTGTTAGTATTCATCTGTTAAATATATCCACAGTGGTGAAGGTTATCATATAGTCGGCCCCGTCCGACTTTACTACTTCCCTTACTGGTTTTGAGAGTAATTTAATGGCTATGCATGTCCGTCCGTCTGTCTGTCCATTTTAAATTGTAAACGAAGTGCAGGTCGCATTTATTATCCGAATGAGATGAATTTTGGCACAGATCAAGGACGAACCCTATTGAAATTGGTGAAATTTCATTGAAATCGGTGCAGATTTAGATATAGCTCCCATATATATATATATATATATATATATTCGTCCGATTTTTAGGGAATGGTGCACCAAAGAGTTAAATTTTAGCCGATTCTAGGATCAACTTGTCATTGTGTTTAAAACTTATAGTTAACAAAATATTTAAAAACATTTTGCTGAAAACAACTGATTTACTAGCATAATTTGAGTGATTCCTTTCCACTGTGCCTTGTTGCAAAGTTTTTATGCAAACTACCGCCGTTTTGTTTTGTTGCACTCAAAGTGTTAAAACTGTGGGTAGGTGTTAGCATTATTTTCCATGGCCTATCATACTTGTATATATGTATTTATGTTATGTTTTTTCTGCAATCAGATTATATGGCTGCTGGGTAATCCATCCAAATGCATTCGGGTCATACAAAGTTGTTTATTTAATTCGTTCAATAAAGTGAGCCACGTGGTTCAGATAACAACAACATGTTTTTTTAATTTTTTTTTGGTTTCTACAATCTAAACTTGGCTCAGTGATTAGCGGCTTCTGTAGTTTTTTTCTGAAGTGTGATTTTGAATTTTTCATTCATTAACAAAATTAATTCATTCATTCATAAAATTCATTCATAAAACAAAAAAACCCCACACTATGCGTTTAAAGGTTACCCAGTATTTAATTAAAAACAAAAATAAGTTTAGTTACGCCTAACTTCGAAGACATTCTCTTTAGAAACTTGACTGAATATCGTTCGGTTGGTTGGTTGCTTGCTTGGTATGTTTGTTTGGCAATTTGTAATATTGTTTGATGTCAGTTCGCTGTTTTTTTATGTTTATTATTTATTTTCAAACTTGAAACTCTTCTTACACCTACAGATTTCCGACGACATTGGAATTGTACGTCGTAATCACTGGAACAACATCCGCACGAGTCTAGATTAGGTTTTCATAGACGCATTATTATTATTGTTAATCATTTTTTTTTAATTTTACGTTTTTCGGTTTTAAAAAAACTGAAATAAAAAACTGGTGGCACTTAATGAATTTTTGGCGCTTTTACATTTTTGGCCGAAAAACCAACACGACAACAACAACATTGGACGCGTGCCTTAGATGACAGTTTTAAGATAAACAATCGGCTAATGTTGGCATTAGTAATCAGCTAACTGCATGTGGGCAGTTCGTACTTGAGATGATGATGAAAAAAATTCCAATTTTTTTTTTGTTTTGTAAAATTTGTTGGTGCACATAATTATAAATGTGTGTGCGAGTGTGTGTGTTTGTATGCGAGTTGTTTGTTGGCTGATTGGTTTCAGTAATATTACGAAGGTCATGTTTCATAGAGGTTAAGAACTTTTAGACAATTTGTGAATTGTTTATCAATGAAACCAGTTGCTATGAAAATTTAGGTTTCATAAATCAATTAAAGACTAGAATAGTTACGAGTATCAAAGTATATCCTACATACGCAAAGAGATTCTAAATTAACGATACGACGATTACTTAAAAATCGAATCTGCAAATACCTGTGATGAATTTCAATGAAATTATGCAAAACTAGATAAATCTACACCGGTATAAATTGTGTTAACATATATAAATATAATATTATAAAACTAAAATGTAAACTAATGTATATTTTTGCACACATATATTAATATTAATAAATTAAACTATTTGCTTCAAAGGCAAGATAATTGGTATTGGCCCACTGTGCCAAATTTTGGAGGCAGGCTGATGTCATTTGAAAGGTCATCGAATGAGCTCTTAGAACATGTTTCACTTTTATTCCCAAGTTAACCATAACTCCAAAAATTTGGCCATCATTTTAAAATACAAAGGGTATTTTTTTAAATTTGCCCACTGTGCCAAATTTTGGAGGCAGGTTTCTCTATGGCTGATGCCATTTGAAAGGCCATCGAAAGAGCTCTTAGAACAAGTTTCACTTTTATTCCCACGTCAACCATAACTCCCAAAATTTGGCCATTTTAAAATTCAAGGGGTGTTTTTTACTATTGGCCCACTGTGCCAAATTTTGGAGGCAGGTGCCTCTATGGCTGATGCCATTTGAAAGGTCATCGAAAGAGCTCTTAGAACATGTTTCACTTTTATTCCCAAGTCAACCATACCTCCCAAAATTTGGCCATTTTAAAATTCAAAGCGTATTTTTTTTTTAAATTTCCCACTGTGCCAAATTTTGGAGGCAGGTGCCTCTATGGCTGATGCCATTTGAAAGGCCATCGAAAGAGCTCTTAGAACAAGTTTCACTTTTATTCCCAAGTCAACCATAACACCCAAAATTTGGCCATTTTAAAATTCAAGGGGTGTTTTTTACTATTGGCCCACTGTGCCAAATTTTGGAGGCAGGGGTCTCTGTGGCTGATGCCATTCGAAAGGCCATCGGAAGAGCTCTTAGAACATGTTTCAAATCAAGTCCCAAGTCAAACATAACTCCCAAAATGTGGCCCTTTTAAATTTCTCTCTCTTTAACAGAGAATATATGCATGTTTCTATCTAAATATAATCTATTTGCGTACTCCAAAAGTTGTAAACCCACTTTTCTAATTATGACCAAAGTGGAATCTTTGGCCCATATTGGGTCATTTAACAATATATTCTTTAATAAATCAACGCCTGTGTTGAGTGGTCGTTAAAAAATATTTCTTAATACATCCACGCCTGTATTGAGGGGTTCTGAAAAAATATTTCTTAATACATCCACGCCTGTATTGAGGGGTTCTGAAAAAATATTTCTTAATACATCCACGCCTAGATGGTCGTTGCAAAAATATTTCTTAAAGAATCTATACCTATATTGGCCCTTGAAAAATGTTTCTTAAAGAATCTATACATATATCGGCCCTTGAAAAATATTCTTCATAAAACCCACGCCTTGATAAATATTCTTCACAAAACCAACGCCTAAATGGTCGCCTTATTACTCGAAAAAATTATCCTCAAAAAATTATTCTTTAAAAAATCAACGCCTTATATTATCATCGAAAAATTATTCTTTAAAAATACACGCCTTATATTATCCATCGAAAAATTATTCTTTAAAAAATACACGCCTTATGTTATCCTCGAAAACTTATTTTTTAAAAAATACACGCCTTATATTATCCTCGAAAAATGATCCTCGAAAAATTATTCTTTAAAAATCCACGACTTATATTATCTTCGAAAAATTATTCTTTACAAAATCCACGCCTTATATGGTTGTTGAAAAATATTCTATAAAATATCCATCCCTTAGATGGTCTTTGAAAATATATTCTTTAAGAAATCCATGCCTTAGATTGTATTTGAAAAGATATTCTTTAAAATATCCACTCCTTTATTGGTCCTTGAAAATATATTTCTTTAATAAATCCATGCCTTAGATTGTGTTTGAAAAGATTTTCTTTAAAATATCCACGCCTTTATTGGTCATTGAAACGATATTCTTTAATAAATCTATGCCTTAGATTCTATTTAAAAAGATTTTCTTTAAAATATCCACGCCTTTATTGGCCTTGAAAATATATTCTTTAATAAATCCATGCCTTAGATTGTTGTTGAAAAATGTGCTTTAAAATATCCACGCCTTTATTGTTTCGTTGCTTCTGTGGCACATACCGCCGTCTTGATGAACATATGCGTTGTCCAGATCAATACAATCGAACTTCTACAATAAAAAAAGAATTATTTATCTGTTGTTCACATAATCCATAACTGTTCCAACCTGATTTCCGAAAAAATTAATTCAAATGTCCCCACCGGGCCAAAGCACGCAAAAAACAGTCACACATTGAGGATGGAGTGGCTTCTCAACTGTACCTCTTGCCTGTTCCGAGCACCAGCAAATATGATTATTGACACAGGCATCGCCAAGTTGGAAATTGATGTCAGCGGTCAATATTATTTCGTTGGAATTCCGGATCATTTTCATTCGCCGAATGGACAGAACAAACCTTTAGTTTCTTCAACAGTTTTTCGTAAAAAGTAATTAATTTTGTGGATTCTATTTTTCTCCACTTTTAATTGTTTATCATTTTTATTGCTTTGGCGCAATTTATAATTGTCAAATGTCAATAACTAAAAGCTTCAAATAACATGTGTTTGTTATCGATTTCGATTCTATCGATAGTAATCATGTAATGACATATTCTCATGTACAGTTCACACTTCAGTGTTGGTCTATGTAGGAAATTTAAAGACTTTGCATAAATGATTACTTATTAAAAACATTTTAAGGCATATATAATTGAAAACATGAATAGAAAATGTTTTTCTTTTTACTATTTAATGAGTTTATACCCAATTTTTGGGTAAATACTCAAAATAGGGGTAACCTTTGTATAGGGGCTACCAGTAAACGTGGACCTACATACATAAAATTTTGCATGAACATTTTGTACCCAAAAAGAACACTCTGTGCAAAATTACAGCCAATTTGGCCTTAAAATGTGTCTAATAAGCTAAAAATACCTTAAATCGGGAGATACGGTTATATGGGGCTATATCAAAACTTGGACCCAGGGACCCCATGTGGGATTTCTATATTTGCTTTGACATTAGAAACATGTGTGCAAAATTTTGGCCGCCTATGTCAAGTTGTTCGGCAGTTAATAAGTTTATACCCAATTTTTGGGTAAAAACTCGGGTAGGCTGACTTCCAAAATGTATCTATGCAAGGTTTGTATACAATAATACTACAGTATTTAAACTTTGTACACATGCAAAGTTACCAAACGTTGCAACTATGAACACTGCAAACATTTACAATATTGAATGAATGTGATGCAATGTATCTTTATCCAATCAGCTGTTTTATAAAATAAACAAACATGGAAAGCGCGGCTGTGAAAATTTTATTTGAAAATTTTTGCATATTATCAGAATCTACAAGAGGAAACTCTGGGCAAACTTCGGTGCATTTAATAAAGTCAATTAAAAGAAAAAAAGTGTTTTAATACTACCCAAATAATTACAAAAAAGAAAGATTCCCAAAACTATAAACTTTTGGGATGTCATATCAAAAATGCCCGACGACGTATTTAGCAGCCACTTTAGAATGAATACCAACACTTTTAAGGTAAATAAATATGATTTTTAACATTAATTTTCGTTCAAGTTTAAAACATTTTTTGTTTCAGTCATTAGTACATATGCTACAACCATTTTGGCCAAAGCGCGATTATGGACGACCGTGTTTATCACTTACGAAATCCGTCTACATAACCCTTTGGAAACTAAGCAATCAAAACAGCTTTCGAGAACTAAGTGATAGATTTGGTATAGGAGCAGGAACGGCTTATAGGTCATTTAAGAAAACTATTAAAGTAATTTTGTTACTTAAAACGAAAGTCATCGTATTTCCATCGACAGAGATAAGTCAAAGAAAAACAATGGATCAGTTTGAGGCAAGCCGCGCACTTCCGTTCCCATTTGTAATTGGTTGCATCGACGGAACCCATATTCGAATATCCCAACCTATAAAGGACAGCATTAGTTATTACAATAGAAAGGGGACATACTCCTTAGTAGTGCAGGTAACTTTAGATACATATGAATATTTTCAGTTCTAATACATTTTAAAAGACTATTGTAGATAGTAATATGCGATTTATCGATGTTTTTGCTGGATATCCCGGAAGATGCCATGACGCGTCTGTTTGGAATAATAGCCCAATCAGAAAAGCTATTATCAATAATGAGATACGAATACTGCCGGAATGTCATCTTTTGGGTGACGGAGCTTATCCTTTGGAAACTTTTTTAATGACACCATATAAAGACAATGGATATCTCACACGAGAACAGAAAAGATTTAACTACGTGTTAAGTTCAACAAGAGTTTTTGTAGAGCAGGCATTTGGTATTTTGAAGAAAAAATTTCGAATATTAAATTATATTGAAATTCAAAATGTAGCTCTCGCAAAGCAAATTATCATGGCCTGTTGTGTACTTCATAATATTATAATAGAGAATGAGAAAACAACCGAGGAGGCTGTTGAATTCGTGGAACAATCCGACAATGGAAGTTTTTGTCCTTTAGCCGAAATCCAACGGGCTACTGCTTCCCAAAGAGACGAAGCTAAAAGGAAAAGAATAGAACTGACCACCCTTATTTCAGCTTAAATATATAATACTCATACATACTTATCTTCTATTGAACTTTTTTTGTTTTCCTGTGAATTTCAAAATAAAATTGCATTTATGTTTTTTAGTTTTTAAATTATATTTTATTAAAATAAAAAATCAGTTTTCAATGGTATTAACTAATACAAATAACTTAAAGTATTTCAGAGAACAATTCGATTTTAGGTACAATGAAAAATCAACTAACAAAATTAAATTCATTTTTGTACAGTAACTTATTAATCTCATCTTCTAAAGCATAGTATTTATTATTTTTTTTAATAATGTCACTTAAGAGAATACGCAAATTGCGCATCTCCGCCAGTTTCTGCTCTTCTATATCTAATTTCTTTTTTTCGATGTCAATTAAATTTTGTATTGATTGTTTGTCATCACTAGCCTGTTGTTTCAAAAATTCTAATATTTCACATTTTTTCTTTTTAATAGCGGGTTCTGGGGACGAAGCAATCACCTCGGGAATGTCATCCTGCGTGTCTCCTAAAATATCTTGGAGTGAACACTCTAAAGATGAGACTGGGACACAAATATCAGACCGGGAACCATAAACCTCGTCCATTTCTTCGAAGAATTCCCAAGTTGTGGCTGCTTCTCCTGATGTATTGTTGCGTTTTTTAATTCGCTTGTATGTCACACAAAAATTCAGGAACTTTCTGGTAATTTCATCCCGCGAGAAGGGAAAAGTATTATCGACTTCTTTAATTTCTCTCAAGACCTTTTCCCATAAAACAGTCCGCTTTTTGCGCTTTGCGCAGAAATCTGGTTCGTTGCGCAGTCGGGTAGTGAGGAGCAACTTTTTTTGATCGTGGTTCCACTTCTTTTCACTAAAAACGTTAAAAATACATTTATTTGTTATAAATATTAATTATTTTACTAAAATTATACTTACATTTGGGAATCTGACATTTTTATTTTGTCTAGATATTGCTTGTTGTGCATGTAAACAAATAATGCATCAACAATAAAACCGATGCCAGGTTGCTTTTTAACTGCGTTGCATATACGTGCCGTCGACATTTTGAAATATTATGCAATGCAACTATTTGACACTGTTGCATTATGAAACAGTATGCATTGTTCGAATGCAAAGCAACTGACATTTTGGAAGTCAGCTGTATTTACCCAAATTTTTACCCACGTCTTTAAAGTATCGTAAAACTATTCATTCTAAATCGATTTGATAACAGAAACCCGGAAATAGGGTGCAAGATGTTGTATTACCGATTCAATATAGTAAATACCCAAATAAATACCCACAAATGGGTATTTACCCAATTTACCGGGTATTTACCCAATTTACCGGGTATTTACCCTTTCGGTATTTACCCACTGCCCATCTCTATTTATTAAGGACATAAAACTACGGGATACGTTAATTAAAATGTTCATATGGGGTCTACGCCGAAATTTAAGTCAATATGGATAGATTTCACACCTAATTAGAATTGAAAATACTAAATTACACCCTTCAACCAAATCAGCGAAAAGTCTTATTTGGTATGTTCAAAGTCTTAGTCCAATTTGCCATCCTCATTGTGTGTAGTTTATTATATCGTTTTGTATCCGGGCAGCAATTTACCATGACAGAAGTAGCTCCTACATAACAGTCCCGATCAATTATAGGTATTTTAAATGTCCACCTTATGGTGTAGTGTATTTAAAGTTCGATTTGCTCGAATTTAAAGATTTTTTTAATTGTTATTGTAAAATAATAATGATTAGAAATATTTTCGAATTTGAAAGTTTTCCCGTAAAAAAGTTCGTGCGGAACTGGAACACTATGGACTTGCTAGATATTAGCCTAAACCAATAATGTACCAAAATAACTGACGAAAATTTCACAATCAATGTATAATTCTAATATTAATATTTTAAACTAAAATGTTCCATAACTTCTTTAGATATTTCTATTACATTTACTTATTTGGAAAGACGTAAAATATCGGCAAAAGACTGAATCTCTCTAAAACGCCAAATAAGGTAACATTTGAGCATCATAACACGAGCCTTCATTATTGAAACGCCTCCTCAATTTGTTTTCATGTTGTTGTTGCTCTGTTCAAGTAATCATTGTTATTTGTGGAGAAGAAGAAGAGTAAAGACTTCGCTTGGACCAATCATCATCACGATTGACATTCAGCTGGTTGTTATCTATTTCTTTAAGTTTTATTTGTTGTTGTTGTGACTGTTCCGAAAAAACATCTTTACGACAAGAAACCATTAAATTTTCTCCTTTTTTCCTCATTTGGTAATAATGTTTGGCCAACCAATTTTGGTGGTCTTTTAAAACTCACCAACAACAGCAGAAAAAACTCAACCTACGATTTTTCGTTTCATAAAAAATAACACAACAAATTTAATTCACAGTTTTTTTTTGCGTTTTGTTTTTGTTGTTGTTTTTGTCATACTGTCATTATTATGAAATTCAAATGGAACAATAACATAAGCAAATAATTTGACATTTGATTTATAAATGTCAGTTGTTGACAGTTGGCTACATATACTCGTATTGAGAGAGAAAACAAATGTTTTCAATGTAATTTATATATTCCGAAATGACGTTTTGTTGTTATTGTAGTATGCATATTACATCATCCGTTACAAGTAGATTTGATATAATCGGATTTAATATTACACCTTTTTGATGAATGGAACTTGGAACGGAAATTTGGGAAATTGAAAGAAAATCACCATGAGATCTTTGAACTAGAGCACACACGAAAACCTGTGTCATAGAGAGACCTATATGTTTATTAGCTGATTAGTTGAAAAAAGTTTAATATTACAAAAAACTAACCTCTTAATATTTATTCGAAAAAAGTGTAGGCTGTTGTTATATGCCTACATAGTGTGTGTATGTATGTCGTAGTTGTTTTGTAAGTTCTGTTTTTTGTTACCATTTTAAAAGCTTCTGTCCATTTCCATTTTAATTTGAACACACCGAAATCTATTTTAAATCATTTTGACATATGTCATATGTCGGTCGTACAATCTGCAACCTGTCTTAAAAGTTAAGACAAGCTTTCATGTTGGATTTTTGGGGCGCTTAAAAATAATAAAATTGTTAACACAATTACATGACAGAATCTAGAAAAAAACGCAAAAAGAAATACAAGACACCAAAATAAAAGTTCGTATTTATTAAAATATGTTTTCTGTTTGCGGTAAATAACTAGCCGGCGGCGGCTGCATTCTTGTCATGTTCCTGAAATTCATTTACAAGTCATAATTTTTATTAAATGATCAATAACTGGGTGAACAGAAAAAAATATTTAATTTTGTGTATTTTTTAATTGCTTATGCGATTGGCGACAAAATCTATTATAACTATGGTACAGTGATTCTTTAAATATTGTGTTCAAGAACTTTAAAAAAAAACTTTTTTAATATGGATGTTATGTCCTGCGCCTTAATGTGCAGGGCACATTTAATTTGTTTTCCGTTTGCAACACTTCGAAATATTTACCGGAAATCCCTTTTGATCAAAATTGAATTCTATGTCGATTCAGCCTATATGTCTGTCCGTCTGTTGAAATTACGATAGAGCTTACAATATTTAAGTGCCCCTTAAAACATTTTTCAAACGAAAATATCAACATATCTTTACGAAAATAAACAAAAAAGTCCACTTTTTGTTATAGTCCCCATATAATGTTACTCCTTTTGGTATTTTGGGGGGCATATGCCATGTTTTTCAACCGATGTTGCTTCTATTTTCATATTTTCTGTCTTTATTTATGACACCCAATAAGGAATCTTCCTACCTAATATTATCAATAACAGTCCACGTTTTGGTATAGCTCTCATAAATATGTCCGTACCATTTTCGATATTTCGAAGGTCTTAGTTGCGATTTCTCCATTACGGTTTCTTGGAGAATGACAGATAGTTATACAGAACAATTCCGATATATGCCAATGATCTAACATAGAACAACAAATTATTAATATAGGTCCATATTTTCACATAGACCCATATGAAAGTTCAGTTCCATTTACCTAAAAGAAGATTGAAACTTTCCTACTGAAGTGGATGTAATTCGGTATTCCGGGTTCGTGGAGGGTGAACAACATTTTGCAGATCTAACCTCAACTGAAGGAGCTGTATTTTGGCATTCCTGGTGAATATATAACAAATTCCCAGGAAATTTTCAATATGGGTTCTTGGATTTCAATAGCACCCGTGGTTTCTCTTAGTCTTCGGTAGGTCGTACATAGACCAGTTTTCCTACCAAAGTGTCTGAAATTTTTTATATAATTTTTACAGAGAAGAAATGTAGCCTTGACGGCTAGGAAATTTCACATGAGATTCTGGTTATGGTCATGGAAGACGCCTATAATTTTCGACGAGGATCAGATGATATTTCGGGGTTTCTAGTCGCTATAGACGTTACAGTTATCATCCGTACGTAACTAATTCTCCATTTAATCAACTAATTCGAATGACTGTCTTGATAACATTTAGGGGATCAGACGAACCAAATCTTTTTTGAATAAAAAATTTGAATCTTATGAAACAAATTTTATTTGTAACGCCGCGAAATATTGGTCCTAGACCCACCTTTAAGTATACCAATCTTCATATCTCGACTAGCTGAGCCGATCTAGACATGTATGTCCGTCCGTCTGTCCATTGTAATTTGTAAACACGATACAAGCCACAGTTATGGACCAATCTTCACGAAATTTTGCATGTAGTTTGGGTTCTGGCCAATGAAGACCCCTATTGTTTTTGTGAAAGATCGGTTAATATTTAGGGAATGAAATGGACCAAAAACTTTATTTTGTCGGTTTTTCTGTTCGCTCCAAAGGCCGCAATTATGACCCAAACACCGCATGGAGAAGGGGATCGGGCCAGAGAATAAGCATGCATGTTTTCATAAAGATCGGTCAATATTTAGCGGGTCAAATGGACCCTGACTTTTGTGTGAAAAATGACAAAATTTGGATTCTATGGCGTATATATTTACTTTTAAAGGACAT